CGATTAATTTCTTTCTATTTTTAGTAGAGACGGGGTCTCGCTCTTGCTCAGGCTGGTCTCGAACTCCTGAGCTCAAACAATCTGCCCGCCTCAGCCTCCCAGAGAGCTAGGATTACAGGCGTGAGCCACCACGCCCGGCCTGGGTGAAGAATATTTTAAAAAATCCGCAAAACTCAGTTTACTGAGCTTGTTTTTGTTGTTACACATCTAAATGTCCAAAGCACATTTGGAATTAAGATTTTATACTGTATATCTTACATTTTTAAGAACATTTTATAAGTAAAACTGTTCTAAGTTTCTACCACAGATTTATACTTATCAATATTCAGGTTCTGCATGGTACTTCATGGCTTCCAGGTACACATTCCACCACGTAGACACATTTCAAAACTGTTGTTTTAAACTTCCCAGAGTCTTAACTTGTCTGCTTGGGGTGTCTTGCAGACTCTCAGGCTACAATGATTTCTGACTTTTTTTTTTTGAGACAGGGTCTTGCTCTGTCACTCTGGCTAGAGTGTAGTGGCGTCATCATAGCTCACGGCAACTTCAAATTCCTGGGCTCAAGTGATTCTCCTATCTCAGCCTCCTGAGTAGCTGGGACTGCCAACTACACACAAACACACCTGACTAATTTTTGCATTTTTTTGTAGAGATGGGGTCTCACTCTTGCTCAGGCTGGTCTCAAACTCCCAACCTGAAGTGATCCTGCCACCTCAGCCGCCCAGAGTGCTAGGATTACAGGTGTGAGCCACTGAGCCCTGCCTGACATTTTATTTTGATCCTATGCTCTGCTACCAGCTTCCTAGGTTTGTCCTGCACTAGACTCAGTGACTTGGCCATGAGCTACAGGTTCAAATGCTGGTTTTTTTTTTTTTCCCCCAGTAAGATTTTCCCAAGCTATTAAAACTACTGTGTGTTCCACAACAATATAGTTCTCAAATCAAGGAAAGGACAGAGTAATTTCTGCTTTACTTTCTTCCATGAGAAGAGCTTAATTCTTTAGTCTTGTCAATTAACTTTTCTATCTGTGTACTTGTGGAGGTTTAACCATGGAATTTTAGAGGTTTTCCAATTCTGAAATCTTTTATGGTTTTCCTGGGCTTCAATGGAGGCCACAAAATACAACATAAACTACTTATTATCTTCTGCCCCTAAGTACAGTAGTCCCCCCTTATTCACAAGGGATACATTTCAAGACTCCCAGAGAATGGCTGAAACTGTGGACAGCACTGAATCCAATATGTACTATGTTTTCCCTATACTTACATACCTATGATGAAGTTTAATTTATAAATTAGGTACAGTAAGAGATGAACAATAAAATAGAACAATTATAACAATATACCATAACAAAAGTGATGTGAATATGGTGTCTCTCTCCCTAAGTGTCTTATCGTACTGTACTACTCACCTATTTCTGGACTGTAATTGACTGCAGGTAACCGAAACCGGGGAAAGTGAAACCTTGAATAAGGAGGGGGGACTACTGGATTTAAAAAAACGCTGGAACAACATGAACTACTTTATGTTAACTGTTTTAAGAATATTTTATCTTTAGAAAATATTTGGGAATTTTGTGAAGGAGCACAAGTATGTGATCAGAGAGGTAAGACTAAGAATATAAACCCCACAAAAAATTTTACAAAGAGCTCTCCCTGACCCGCCATTTCTTTTATTAGTGTGAAACTAACTTACCAGCTATAGGATCCATGGCTTCCCTATTGCTTGGAGAATATGAACTCTGAGAAGAAGAAAGTCCACCAGTAGAACTGCTAGTAAAGTGCATGTTTGATCTACGAGCACGAGGACCTCCTAATCCCCGGCCAGGGTGAAACATTCTACGTACATGTCGAACACCACTCGATTCATCATAACTCAAAAGTTAAGGACCAAAGTATTTCATAGGAAGGGAAAAAAACCATTGAGCACTTGCTAGACAGACATACAGATTTCCTAAACTGTAAGCATTTTAAAACAGCACATTTAATTTTGAATGTAAATGTCCCAACTCTATCTATGAGGGTTATTAACCCTAAAAAAGACTCTCAAATATAAAGCAACTTGGGGAGAGGAGGGAGGGGTAAGAAAAGTTTCTTCAGGTGGAGAGAAATTTATTCCTAGGCTTCCAGCTATGATGACCAGAGTAACACTGCCAGATGAGGTCAAAGGTTAAACATTCCCTTACCCTGATCTCAGTACCGAATTTCATAAATGCTTATATCCACGTAACTATAATTAATAAGTATTAGTTTTTATATCTGGGGAGAGTTATACTAATATATAGCTAATGAAATCTCAATTATCATCTAAAATGAAAAAGGAACAGCATGAACAATTTAAATTCAGTAAATACAAAACTCCTTTTACCAGTTTTAATCTCTGTCTTCAAGTTTTTCCCCAAGGCCGCTGATAAGCAGAAAACAGAAATTTGAATTTCTTGTGTAAGCAGACACAAAGAGATTAACATGGCATTTATCAAGAAGTCAAATTTCCAGCAGCCTCAAACATCTTACATAACTGAGTGCAAGTCAAACTGAAGAAAGTCTTGAGCTGCAAAGAGCTGTCAAAACTCACGAAGACCTTCTGTTTCTACACAGGCAAATGTGTGTGGGAGTCGGGGAGTGGACTAGATCATGCCGAAGAGACTTCTCCTTCAAAGCAGCAAACAGAACAGCTTTATAATGCAGATGAACTTTTTTGCTGGCTTCCTAGTTTTTCAGCTGATGGTTTTGGAGTCATTTAGAGATACGGTGAGTGACTTGAGGAGGCCCTCAGGTGCCATCACAATATGCACTGTTCCAAGTGGTACTGCATGATGATGGTTCAGATTCTAGAGAAAGTGATGTTATGCTCATTATATTTTGTTTTCAAAAAGTAGCTGGATGTGAAGTGCACTTAAGGAAGAAATCCATCAAAATATTGGGAAAAAACGGTCTGGTGCTTAAGAGGCGTACACAGAAGATACTCCCTGATGTCAAACAAATAAAGTTACTACATAGTAACACTTGGAAGTACCTGAAAAATCAGTATGTTTTTGGGAGAACTGCCGTGGCAACATTTTTGTCCTAGAACCAAATGGTAAGGAATCTAAAATGTAATCTATGTCTTTTCTTATATTGTACATAACTTATTCTTTTTTCTTGGTAATCAGAGACATTTATAAAAATCTCATAAAAGTAGAGGTAGATGATGCAGAATATTCCACTGAATGATGCTGATATCACTGGAGGCTCCTAAATTTGCTGAAAAAGTTCAGAATGTCAGCTTGGTTTTAAATTGTCTGTTTAGTTTCTCCACGAAGAGGGAGTGAACTGTGGGTCAAATATACTCTTTCTGGGTATTATGAAGGATTCTTGTTTCAAAATGCACGGCAACTCAAAGGCTTTAAAAAACAAAACAAACCAAAACACTGTTTTCTTCATGTTGCTCTCAGCATCCCCTATACCCAGGGCAAGAGGAAGACTGGTCTCCTCTGCTGATTGAATACAACTCCGAGACTCGCTCAGATTAGGCTGACATGCTAATTACTCAGGTTGGTTCCATTTCTTTATTTTCTATTAGTTTCCACTAACCTTCCCCTAAATATAAATGGCCATATTTTCAATTAGAAAATTAGTAACTGTGAGCAAGGGATGGAAGCTGCAGAACAAGAAAACCACCCATTTCTTCTTCAACGAGTTTAAGTTTGGATTATGATTGCTAGAAGGCAATCAAAGGAAGCAGAATGAAGTCTGGCAGAGAGAAAGGTTCTGATTAGCTCCTAAAATGCTTCAAACTGCAATGAACACAGAAACTTTTACATGAGAACAAAACTCTAAGTGAACAGGTGACAGTTTTAGAAAAACAATTCATAACCTAAAACCAGAGGCACTGAGTCTATAAAATTAACTGCCCTGGTAGGCCAGTGATCTCAGCAAACATTGCCAACAACTGTTGAGAGATAGGGAAAGCAGAAATGAAAGCAGGAAAGGAATTTCGAGCTAGACCTGACCATATGCTATCCCACTCAGACCTGGCAGGAACTGCTCTCTCTGGAGAAGGGGACCCAAAAGGGATAGGAACCCCAACATGCACACCCACCCCGCCAGCCCACCATACCACACCAGAGCAGAGTAAGGCAGCAGAGGAACAAGGGAAAGCAAATAAAACCTCTTTATATTTAACTAATTATATTTTAATTTGGATTTTTATCTTCCTCTTTGGTAAGAAAATACCTTCCTGGAAGATTTATAAACTGGTCAAATTGTCTTAAAAAAAATCTGATTGTAATGAACTAAAGATGATGAGCAAGTTAACTTTCACCTAAAGAACATGGTTTATAAAAGTCATAGAATATAAAAAGAGAAATAAGAAACTGCACTTCAACACTGAGTCACTTTTAGGAAGAGGTCAAATAGATAAAAATAATTTGGAGATTAGTTTCTCTCTCTTTGGGGATATTATCCTTAAAAATGATCAAAATGACAAATGTTACAAACGACTCTTTCCCTTGTTGCCACTTAAAAGGATATTAAATCTCTAGGGGCTCTGTGTTCAAGTGTAAGATGAGCTGCAAAGTCATCCGTGACATGATTAGGATCGCCTCCAGGTAATGCTGCACATATTGGACAAATCTGAAATGAAAGTAAAGAAAGTGGGTTTAATAAGTGAACATCAATCAGACACATTTCTGGACCAATATTCTGCTATAAATTTTACTATTATCAAGTTTTAACCAGACAAAAACACAGCAGATCCTGAACTAGTGCAAAGTAGTAGAGGCCTAAGCGAAACTGTCACATATCCATGTTGGCGTTCACAGCTAGAGCAGTCTCTCAGGTCAAACACAACAGTTGTAGAGACATCAAATTTGATCTCTGCAAGGCCTTGTGACAGCTTGGTCCATTGAGTTGCATGGTCTAGCAAAATAGTTTCCATTTAAAAACTCAAAATGTGCTAGTTAGTGCACATTTATGTCTAAGTCCAGTCTTGAATGATAAAGACAGATATGAGCCTATGACACGCTCCACCAAAACAAGCTAGACTTGAGGGCCAATCCCCAAATAAGACCTTGGAGGTCTAATTAAATGCAACTGTGCAAATTTAAACCTGTCGAATGTGATAAGATAGATAATGATTACTATAAGATATGCAAATGTGCTCTGTAAATTCATGAATGGGACTTCCAAGGGGAAAACAGGATGGGGGCCCATTTTTAGAACATTATTTCCCAAAGAAATGGATGGTGGGGCAGAAACCTGTGACCAAGTCAAGTTCAAGAAGTAGAAGATCAACTTCCTCATAGACCTTACGGCAACAGATAGAAGGAGAAAGCAGATATAAAATGCTGTGTACACAGGGAGAGTTCAGGGCAGCCAGGGGCAGGTTAGGAAGATTGTTTCTGAAAGAGTAGTTTCAATAAAATTGGTGAAACAGTGGGCAGGAGAGGGGAAGGACAGAAAGAATGAGGAGCTTTTTAAGAGGAAGGGCCCTTACTCTTTCCAGAAATCCAAATGGGCAGATGATGGTCTAATGCTGACAGCAAGGCCTTGAAGTATGAAGAACTTCAATCTTAAAGAACAGGGCCAAGAAAATAGGTCTGGTACACAGTTAAAGTTGTACGCACGTATGTGCCTCTCCATGGGTAAGAGGGTTAAAGGTAAGATATGTGATTCATCTTGCCAGTACACGCACCAAGAGCCACAATTCTTTCACCTGGAGTAAAATCTAGGCAGTCTGCTTACAGCAGAGTGGGAGAAGGTGGCAGCACTGGAGGTGGGGAGGCAGGGGAAAGGTCTGACTTGAAAGGACAATGTCGGGGAGGGCAAACTACTCTGATTCCTGGAGCTTAAGCAAACATAACTTCCCATCTTCCAATGACTAGAAAGCAGAAGTCCCCTGAGAATTTGACTCTGATTTGATACCAGTCTCTCTTATGCACAGTCAGCTATCTGATTACATGACTCAGGACTCTGAGAAATAGCCTCACAAAAACCCGAAGGTGCTCAAGAGAAATAACACTTACGCATGAGAGTGTGCAAAAGAACTAGAGAGGTTACAGTGGAATGTGCTGAGAGGCAAATGAGAAAAATAAGTAGACAGACATTCTTGTGCCTTTCTTAGAAGATACCATAAAGGTGGTCAGACAGTTTTTTTCCTCCATCGGAGAGAAAAGTAAATTGTATGTTTATAAGTCTACAGATATCAACTATCTCTCTACTAGGAATTTAGACTTTACAGTCTGTTCCATTCTGACATTGCTGGGCAGTGTCTGATACACTTATTTTACTTTTCACTTATTTTACTTCTGTCTTGCCTAGCTAAATTGTAAACTCTTCTAGAGATGCAGGACAGTGTGATTTGTCTTTGGTTTTTAGCTGTGTCCAGAGACTCACTTTAAAAAAACAAACAAACAAAAAACAAGGCCAAAAAAGTTTGGAGAAATAGAAACAGCTCCAGTTATTTAAAAATAAAGCAAACAAGTCAGTTTAGATATTTTTGAGACTCTTTATTTTGCAACAAATTAACCAGTGCTGGACTATGTACAGTTTTATTACAATATCATAAGACTATATAAGATTTTTATCTAAAGAGAAAATAACCACCAAAAGGAAAATAAGCATCTTTCTCCTAAGATATTTCCCTTTAGACTGGCCTTTGGATAAACTCTATACACAACTTGAACTGCACAAAGATAGCTGCAGAAGCTTCAGCACTTGAGGGCACTTGTTAAGTGTTCACAGATGAGAAAAGGCTCCTCAAGGATATATTATACCTTCCTAGAGGAAAGACAGAAGTACAGATACAAAGCATACTAAGAATGTCCTAATAAGATAGATAATCTACAAACTAGAAAAGCACCTTTGAAATGAGGATATAAAATAGAAAATCAAGATCCTTCATTATTGTGTATTAACTTCATTTATTAAAAATCTTTCAATTTCATTGTAGTAACTGTGCTAAGATGGTAGAATGAAGGTATTCGGAACTGCGCTGTTCAGAGAGAAATAATACAAAACCAAAACCAACCAACCAACCAACCAACCTTCCCTAATGACTAGGGATAGGAATTACTGAGTGAGGTGGGAGGAAAACCTAGGTTGACAGTTGAAATAAATCAAGAGATTAGATTTACAAAAAGTCGAAGATGTTGCATACTTGGACCGCACGAAGTTGACTTGGAAAAGAAAATTAAGCTGCGATGCTGATGGGACCAGAGGCCTGGTTATCTTTTAGGTTTTACATTTTATACTGAGCAAGCTAATCCAAGTTTTAGATAAAACCTCTGGTATCTCAAGGTTGTATTTTCTGGGAGGTAATGGAGGGAACAAAATGGAGAAGAGAAAGGAGAGCAAAGTGGGGCATGAGAAACAGAAAAGAGTCGGGGGGCAGGGGGAGGCAGAGACAGAAGCCACTTTGCTGCTGAGGGGCACAAATGCAGCTTAGTTTTGAGTGTGCCTTTAATTCCACATCATGGTACCTAAATACCTTTTACACGACAGGAAAATTCTATACAAAGCTATTAACCCTGAGATCATGACAGTTTGTCAACATTAATATTTACACACTTCTGCTGCCATATGATATAATAATATCTATTACTCATACAGGAAAATTCCATAAACACATTAGCTTAAAATTATGACAACTTGTCAACATTAAGGCTTATGGAATTGGCTTAAGTCAGTGTTTCCCAAATTTGGCTAAGAATATAAATTATCTGCAATATTTGTTAAAAATATAGTTCCCTAGGCCTGGAAATGGATTCTGGGGGGTTCGAGAATCCATTGTTGACAAGCGTCCCAGGTGATTCTTATAACTGGATAAGTTTGGCAAATACAGCTTAATCATAAAATGGCATTGAAAAATTATATTTACCCTGTTATAGGAAACACCAAATGGTATTGTTACTTACATAACCAAAAACAATTCTTATCCACAAATGTCCTTGCTATTCTCAGTCTTGTCTCTGCTATTGCTTCAGTCTTTCTCTTCTGCTTCATCTTGCCATTGAGGGTCACCATCAGTCTTGCTTTTTTAAAAATCTGTAGCCCTTCTGGAAGCCTTTACCAATTGAGATAAGGTCCCATCCCAAGTACATAATGCAGTTTCCATTTTTCCACGTGGTCCCAGTACATGACTGCCAGTGTGCAACTAGTCAGTGCACATATTAACAGTTTGTTACCAACGTCAAGAATGTACTCTCTCAAGTCATTACTTCATATATAAACATCAAGTCAGTGCTCAATGTACAAAACTTTCCCCCTATGACACAGGCCATATGTCCATTAAAAAAACACGTAAAGTCAGCATGCTTCGTTGTTTTTAAACAAGTGCTCCATATGTTCTTCCCTATACAATTATCAACCACTCTTAAGTTTGGATTTCCTTCAGCCTCTTTCTTGAACTAATACAACCACATCAGACAGCACTCTCTTTCTGGGTACTGTGCACAGCTTTAAAAACTACTCTTTATATAATTACATCCCTATTTCTAGTTAAAGGATCTATGCTATGAAATCCAGGTGAGCTGATAAAGTTAATTAAAGTTCTGACTGGCTCAATTTGTTATATTGTATAATTTTGTTACCATGGGTTAACTAATCCATTAAGTATTTACTGAGTGCCAAATCAGTGCCCACTTCACATTCTGGGTTAAAAAATTATCAAGAAATGAATAGGTTCTGCCGCCATTGATGTTCTTATCAATTTCATCTCTTATTAATAGTTGGTATGCATTTTTCATTATTTCTTCAAACTGGGATACTATTCATGTCTCTGCTTTTAAGGGGCTCTCAGAAGTCAGCTCTAGAAACACCCCAGGCTTATTCTACCAGGCAAATTTCCTGATCACTCAAAATACAATGGGGGGCCAGGCCCGGTGGCTCACGCCTGTAATCCTAGCACTCTGGGAGGCCGAGGCGGGTGGATTGTTTGAGCTCAGGAGTTCAAAACCAGCCTGAGCAAGAGCGAG